GGGGGGGGGGGGGGGGGGGGGGGGGGGGGGGGGGGGCACACCCACACACTGACTGAGACTGACCTTGCGAACAGGTAGTAGGCTCCCTCCGGCTCACTGGCGCGGAAACCCACAGACAAGAGACCCTTGAGCAGCACGTCACGCTTCACCTACACACACACGCCCACACAGGAAGGTCATCTTCATGTGTGTGTGTGTGTGTCCGTTTCAAGGATCTCAAAGCACAGCATACCTCGTAGGCGTCTTTGATCCCCGCAAAGGTGGCCTTGTCAGCATGGAGCAGCGTCTGGACGGCCCGCTGCAGCGGGGTGGGCGCCTGCATCGCTATCGTGTCGTGAATCGCCCTGCAGCCACGTACACACAGATGGGCATCTGTGTGAGCGACGGACGCGACCTGTGCGGGCGTGTTGTGTGTGTGTACCTGATTTTGGATGTGATATCCCTGCTGGCGATGACCCAGCCCACCCGCCACCCCGTTGCAGAGCCCGTCTTGGACATGCTGTTCACTGCGTGTATGCCATGCATGTGACAGACACACGTGACGCACACTCACTCACATCATCCATCCGTTGAGGTGTGTGTGTGTGTGTTTATGTGTCCTTAACTTACCGATGATGGCGTTGTCTTTCATGTCTGGCCAAGCGGCGACGCAGTAGTGGGGCGTCGACGTGTAGATGATGTGCTCTGCATACACAGACATACAAATCAACACACACACACACACAGGCACACAAGAAATGCGTTCATGGTGTAGACGGCGTTGTAGTGGGACACCACCCCTGGCTGTCTACCTACTGAGCTACGTACCATATATTTCGTCAGTGACGAGATAGACGTTGTGCTGCACACACAGGTCGCAGATGGACTGCAGCTCCCGCTCTGAGAAGACCTTTCCCGTCGGGTTGTGCGGCGAGTTGCTGACACACACACACACACACAGAGTCAGAGATGGAGATGGTTGCGCATGATCCTTCCCTCCATCCCTCCATGTGACTGTGCGGTGGGTGGGCTTACAGCAGCAGCACTCGTGTGTTGGGCAAGGCCAGCTTGCTCTCCAGACCAGCCATGTCCAGATGCCATCCTGACGGCCACCAAACAGCACGCCATACCCACACCACACACACACACAGACGGACATCTTCCTCTCTGGCCCGTGAGCCATTGAGTGGCCGTACCGCCTCCGTCTTCGATGAGCGAGACGAAGTGCGGCTGGAGGTGGAAGACCTTGACCTGGTTGACATACATCTCGTGAAAGGGCTGAACCACCACCACACCTGACCAGTCAACCGTACACAGACAGACAGACATATCAAGACCTTCACCGACCTTCTCAGGCATACCGTCTCCCGCCTTGGTGACGGCCCGCAGGACGGCCGACATGCCCTCCGTCGCACCCAGGCACACTGAGCACAGACACACACACGCAGGCCCATCCTCATGCTCATGCTCATTCGTATGCAGAGATTCGTGTGCAGCGAATGCCTACCTGTGATTTCATCGTCAGGGTCGGGTCGGCATCCATAGAATTTGTTGTAGTACTCGCTGATGGCGTGACGCAGCTGCGAACGACCGAACCTGTCAACGGCACCACACACACACACACACACACACACTCTCTCTCTCTCAAACCAGTCGACGTGTGTATGGCCCATGTGGGCTGTGCTTACGGAAAGGAGTATTGGTTGAGCAGATCTTCGGACTTCCGGAGTTTCCTGACACAGACCGAAGATGCACCGCAGCCATGGTCCATGTGTGAGCCCACCCGAACACGTCCTTGAGTGTGTATTTGGTGAGGTCCTCCTTCTCCGAAACACCCAACACCCCCCTCAGCGAGGCCTCATCGACAGTGATGTTGTCGATGTCCGCCGCGCCATCGTCATCTCCACCGATGAGTGACGTCACGGCGCCCCAGACCATCTCTGCATTGGGCGGCTCGTTGGGGAACCCTGCACACCAAAGAAGGACAGGCAGAAAGGGGGAGGCAAGGCAGATATGGCCGTGTGATTCAGGGCATCTCATCTCTTGATGTACCCTGGCTGAGGTTGATGGCCTTGTGCTCCACGGCGAGACGCTGGATGAACCGAAAGAAAGCAATCTGTGCAAGGGTGGGTGGAGGCTTTCTTCCTCTGTGCCCTTGCTTACCGTCATCTTGCGAATGACGCTCTCGGCTGGACCTTCACCCACATTCAGAGCGCCGTTCTGCATCCTTCTCACCGTCCAGGAGCCGGGAGGCCTTCTTGCTTCTTTGCCGCTGCAGATCTGCTGCCTTTGCCTCCAGATCTTCACCACTGGGGCCCAAAGCTCGCAAAAAACGAGAAATGGACGGGGCACGGCCTGATTGGCTTGTGAGTCTCGCGAGCACATGCAGATGCCTGTCGGCATTCCATTGCTCCATACATGCAGATCTGGCACCGGCCCCATTGCAGCGTGTTGCATGCATTCTGATCGTTTGCAAGCCTAAACAAACAAAATGGAGGCTGCCTCGATACCAACAGATCTGACAAGCCTCCTTTCCCCCTCCGCTACGCACCGGCGCGGTCTGTGCGAATCTGTGGATCTTCGCTAACGAGATCTCTGTCTTGTGTTGTGGCCATCATGCCAAAGTACGTCCGTCCTTGGGAGGACCCCCCGACCGGCGCCGACCCGCGGCCATCGTCGGAGGAAGAGGACCTGACCGAGGAGGAATTCCAGGCGGCGATTCAGGAGAGGATCAACAGGTACAACAGGTCTTTAGTCTGTGGAGTGCCGCGCCGCACAGCCCCCGACCTCGTCAGCGCATTCGAGCGAAACCGGCGCGGCAAGGCTGCGGAGCTCCTCACAATTCGCGTAGAGATGACCGGTGTGCGTGTGGAGGGCAGCAAGATCTGGCGGCGGCTGCGTGTCCGCTCTGACCTCAATTTGGCCGCTATGGTACATAGAGGGAGGGACACACACGGAGAGGGAGGGAGGGAGGGAGAAAGGGCAACGGTACACACATCTGTGTGTCTGTCTGTGTGCGTGTGGTCATGTGTGCAGCACAAGAAGGTGCTGGTGCCGGCGATGGGATGGGCGCCCGACTACCACGGATACGGCTTTTTCCGCAAGCCGTATGACCGCTGTGGCCTGCGGATGGGCGTGGCCTTCGGCCCCACTGAGATGGACGACTTCATCGACCTCATGCACACACCCATGCAGGGCATAGAGATGCAAGACGCACGCCGAGTGAGTATTGGTGAAAAGGTCGCCGGCCGATGACGATTTTTCACTGCACCCTGTGTGGCTGCCTGTGTGTGAAGGTGCAACTCGGCGACCTCTTCACCGACGGCCGGTCCGAAGCGGTGTACGTGTACGACCTGGGCGACTTCTTCATCCACAGCCTGGTGCTCGAGCGACGCACAGACATCCCCACTGACACCACCGACACAGACAACAGCAGCCCCATCGCTGCCGAGCTGCTGGATGGCGCCAATGCTTGTCCGCCAGAGGACTGCCACGGCAGCTACGGCTACGCCGAGATGCTCGACAAGATCGACGACGCGCGGCGGGCGGGTAGCCGCCGCAAACTCATCGACGCCATGGCCGAGGGCAACCACGCCGTCAACTACCCCAACCACGACTTCCACCCCACACGATTCGACCTCACACTTGCACAGAGCCGCGTCAAGGCCTTCTTCAAGCGTCCCGCCTTCGGGCAGGCCTCTGCTGAGCTCGGCCGCACGTGCGCGTGCGCACTGTGCCGGCGACGGGCAGGCCTCGCCACTGACGGCAAGATGGCGGGCATTCCCATCATGAGGTCGGGTGGCGGTGAGGCGGACGCGGCCGCTCGGCAGATGAGCAATTTGCAGAGGGGCAACGCCCAGTACTTTGGGCGGCAGGACGGCATTGCGTGCTGCGCCTTCTGTCTGGACCGGGAGCGCCCCTTCTCGACGCCATTCATGCGGTGCAGCAGGTGCAAGAGGGTCTACTACTGCTCTGTCGAGGTGGGTTAGTGCGCACACACCATCTGCCCCCACACACGTGATATGCACCCCATCTCTCTCTGTGGGTGTGTGTGCGGGTGTGCAGTGTCAGCGGAAGGATTGGGGTGACCGTCACAAGCAGCTGTGCAAGCCGGCCACCACAGACACCGAGACGGAAAGCAGCACACAGGAGGGGCTGTACTCGACAGTGATGGACTCGAAGCTCTGCAAGAAGGCCATGCAGAAGTAGCCGACCCCACTACCCCACACCCCGCCCCCTCCCCGCCACACTAGACGGACTAGACTGACTCTTTCTTTCTTTCTCTCGTCGGCTTGTCGTATGTATCCATGTGTGTGTGTGTTGTGTTGGTTTGTACCGGTCGCTGACTCGCTAGCTGTCTGTCTGTCTGTCTGTCAACCGACACATGCAAACACGGGAGGGCGGAAGGACTGGAGTGCGCGCCACAGGCGGCTGTGCAAGCCGGCGACCGACAACAGCACATAGACGGTGGCGAGAAGAAGAAGAGCATGCAGCAGTAGCCGACCCTCCTCCCTCTCAGACAGCCGCTCGCCCGTTGAGTAGCTACTGACTAGACTGACTCTCCCTCGTGTGCTTAAGTCGATGCTGTCTGTCGTGTTTGTCCTGTGTATACCTACCTGTTGTGTGTGGGTGAGGGACGGTTTTGTGTCACTCCCTGAGCTGCGTTGTCATGTCGCCCGCCGCCTTCAACTTGTCAGCTGCCCACTGACAATTACGGTGTGTCGGCCGATGAGTGGAGGGCTGGAGCGAAATGACAGTCAAGCCAGACAGGGAGGCCGCCACACACAACACACACATCGGCAGAACGGGATGACCATCAGGTTTGGGTGGATGCACATGCGTTCATATAACTCCGTTTGGCCGTGCCGTGTGCTGTGGTGTTTCGTTTATCGTCTGTGCGTCTGCTTGGCGTCAGTGAGGTGACGTCTGCTCACGAGGGTTTGCCATGGGGGACGGACCCAATGTTTGTATATACCATGATTGAGAGAGAATCGTTGTGCGCAGAGGTTAAGATGATTGTCTTCTTTGTTTCCGTCCGTCCATCCACTCACATGCATCGTCACATCTGCTCCATGAGTCAGCTTGACAGCCAGACAGCCAGCCAGCCATCCAGCCATCCACGGAGAGAGGCATCGGTCAGTCAGTCAGTCAATCAGTCGGCCAGTCAGCTGAGAGAGGTTGCTCGGGGTGTGGGCAAATCCGCCAACACCCACACCCCACCAGCCAGCGAGTGCGGCAGATCTACCACTGCTTATTAGCGGCACACCCCACGGCTGGGCAGCGACAGCACAGACAGGCAGACAGGCAGGCAGACAGGCAGGCAGACAGGCCAAGCCGGGCAGGCAAGGGATAGCGCTTGGCGCCATCAAAAGAACCACGGTTTGTTTTGCTCCGCAACGGGAGCGGCAATTTCCTTCACTCCACGTCCTTCGGCGGGATCCCTCTCGCCAGTGTAGTATTGCGTCTTGTAGTCTTTCTGCACAGAGACAGACAGACAGACAGACAGACAAGTAGTCTGACGGTGAGATACTCTATCATGTACACGCTGTCTGTCTGTCTGTCTTCTTACGCAGCATTTGAGCCGCTCAGGCTTGAAGAGGGTCTTAGGGAACTTGACACACTTGCATCGGTATCCACCGAAGGCACCGGTGCCATCCACCGTTTTATGATCAGCGCACCAGTCACCCTCCTTCTTGTCCTCGCAGGAGCCATTGCATTCTGCACCATGGCATGCAGCACATACATCCACATGGATGAAATGAGTGTGCGTGCCCCTCTCTCCCTCCCTCCGCCCGCACCGCAATGTCCAGTCTCCTGTTCAACAATGTCCTGGACGTGCTCAAGGGCCTTCACGGTGGCCTCCCGTGCGGCGATGCTGGCATGCACCGTGGCCGTAGCGTGCTCCATCTGTTGCTGCACCAGGGACAGCTCACCTGCACAAAGACATCACCCAGGACATCACGCTAAGGAATGCATGCACGTCTCGATGGGCCATGCAGTGCCTTGCAGTTGCTCATGGGCCTTGGAGTTCGACGTGCCTGGAATCACAGAGCCCCCAAAGTGCACAATTGGCGGTGCGCTGGAACCTTCATGACACATCGGCCTACCCGCGGCGACAGCACACACCGTGACCAGCAGGCCCTGGGCCAGCAGGAGCGGCAGAGCGATTTTGACGACGACAGCCATTGCAAATCGCAGCACCTGGGAATTGCGATTTGCAATTGCGATTTGCAATGCTCCAAAACCTTACTTGTGTGGGATGCGCCGCCGACCAGCTGCGAGCTATGCGAGCTGCGGAGGAGGAAAACGCAGCCGTCGGAAAACGATGCTACCCAACTGTTGACCCGGGAGCCACACCCCTCGTCGATGAGGTGCGCGCACAGAGGAGATGTACATCTCATGTGATGTTACCGTTTCTGCGTGGCTTGTGAACGCAGGTGTGCATGCGGACGGTGGCGGGGCGAGTGACTGATGCGCATTTCCCAAGACCCTCCGGCTTCGCAAGCGCGTCAACACTCACCCCACTCGCCGTCGGCTGCCGTCGCCACGCAGCGAGTCTGTCTGACGCTGCTGCTCGTGTACAAGACAGATCGGCCGATGCGTCGACTGGCTGATGCTGACCTGAGTCGCTTTCTCTGTCGCGTGAATGCATGACTGGCTGTGGAGAACTGGGTGTTTTTTCGGTCGGTCGTGTCAGCTGTCTGCATCGTCACGTTGGCTGCGCTGTTCCGTTTGCTGTCTCTTCGAGCTGAGTGTGACGTTTGCTCTCGAGAGTTGCCTCATCTTTCGTTGATGCACACGTCTCACTCGGCCGACGCACAGACAGACAGGCGAACAGGCCAGCAACCACACACACAAACACCCTCATACACACACGTGTCTTCCCCTCTGTCGTGTGTGGTACCTCCCTCAGTAATCCAAGAGTGGCAGCATGTGAATGTGTTTGTCGTTTTGAGATTGCCGATGGCCGTGACATGCACACAAGGGGGAGGTGCGAGTGCACAATGGACTCAACACGCAGCAATGTTTTCTCTTCCTTGCTCGATTGGGTGACGGATGTGCACATGGATGGATGGATGGATGGATGGGCGGATGCGACGTGAAGAGCGCTTGTTGGTGTCCTGCCACTCGTGTCGATACAATACATGCAGCTAAGCGATCCTGCCTTGACGATTTGCTGTGGGCTGTGTGTCTGCCTGTCGATTAAGGGGCATTTTGTAGTGAGTGGGTCGCAAAAAGACTGATTTCTGCGTTGACCTGTCGGTTGTTCTCCTGCGTTTACATCTGTTTTGCCACCTCTATCTCACTGCATCTAACTCGTGACGGAGCAACGCTAGAGCACCAGCACAGCGACAGTGTTGGTGTTGTCACGTTGCTGTGTCATGGGTGCGATGCAATGAGGGAGGATGGGAGGAATGAATGGATGGATGGATTCTATGGTGACTGAATCATCCAAACACTGGCGGAATTCAAGCCGCAGGTGTAACACACACGGAAACACGATACACATCGATGTTGAGAACAAACGGTCAGGCACTCAAATCCGTCACCCACACACGCAGTAAGCATCCATCCATCAATCCATCCATCCATTCATATCCATTCATCCAATCACTTGGCGTTCTCCTTGCCATTCGTCTCATTCGCCGCCTTGGTCACAGCCACGTCAATCTTGTACCATGTGCATCAAAATGGGTATCAGGTTGACCGTGTCCTTCCCACTGCCCGATGCACCAACCCCCCCACCACCAGCAGCACCAGCACCGGCAGGGGGCGGCTGTGGTGTGGTTGTCTGCTCCTGTTTCTCCTTTCTCTCAACCTTGTCTCTCTCTCTGCACACGCCCCGGTGGCATACGCACCAGGCAGTGAGCACACAACACATGGACTGAACACCCCTATCTGTCCAGGTATGCATCTTCCTCTGTGTTGCTGGCGTGCAGGTTGGATCACCAGACCCCTCCCCGCCTTCGAGATGCAGATCTCTCTTGCTTCGCCTACCTGCTGTGCTCGGCTGCCCTGTAGCCATAACCGGCAAGTCGACAATGCTCTGCCAGCCCTGAGTTCAATTGGTCACGTGGCCCTCCCTACAAGTGATTGGTCGACAAAGCTCTAATGGTCGAACCGAGACATTAGAGAAATCGCTTGTGTCTCAGCCCGATGGCTGTCCCATTCACAGTCGTCATGGAAAAATATGAAACAAGGAAATATGAAGTGGTCCCTCGTCTGTCCATAAACCACAAAATATAAAATGTAGGCAGAGATACCCATTGTTGTCTGTGACTTCACACGCATGTAGGCCAGCCGGCAGACAAGTGTGGCTAGAGTGTGTGTCACGGCGTGTGTGATCATCAACCATTCATTCACCGGGGACGTCACACTATGGCACCGAGCCAGAGGGATATATCATCCCCGACCAGTCCCGCACCAGCTGCTTGAGCAGCTTTGCTGCCCTCCCCACCCCCTCGTCCGTCCTGTACTGTGGGTTGGTGTCCAGCAGCAGCTCCGCGACGATGACGGCTGCGGCGTAGGTGAGGGTGAAGGTGGGGTCGGCCTCCTTCATGGCCAGCAGTGCCCTGATGACCGCCTCGTCGGGGTCGTGGGAGGGGGGAGATGATGAAGACGACGATGGGGGCTGGTCTTCACTGGCAGCTGGTGGTGGTGTTTGGCTGCTGAAGGCCTGCTGCCGCCGCTTGCTGGGGGTGATGCCGTGCTTGGCATTGACGGCCTCCTTGATGGGCTTCAGACCCTCCTTCAGCAGCTGCTTCCCGTTGAGGCTGTCTTCCGCCACGGTCTTGGTGCACAGCACTGCACGACGCTGCCAGGCGCGCTGCGAGACCGCCGTCTTGCCCTCCTCCTTCGCCTTGTCGACCTGCTCCATCAGCGACTCGAACAGCTGCGAGTCGAAGGCGTGGCAGTAGTACTGGCACCAGTCCGGGGCAAACTGGCTCTTCCACTTGGCGTCTTGGACAGTGGACAGGCCGGCAGCAGGCTCGCCGCCACGCCCCCAATCATCCACCAGTCGTCTGCAGGCTGCCATCCGGGGTATCCCCAGGCGCGCTTGCAGTTTGTCACCAGGCCATCAGAATATAAAATGTAAGCAGCGATCTGCACATACCACAGAGTCATATGTGCAGAGACATAACGAGGCGCCCGATGCTTGCCTACCTTTTGTGGCGTTTGTGCTCTCCCCTCTCCTGCCTTGTCATTAAGGCAGGTAATAAGGCTGCTGGGGTCGTGTGGTGCTGGTGGGTCGGTGGATGACGAGCTGCTGCTGGTGTGTGAGGGGGTGCTGCTGCGGAACATGGCCTGCTTGATGGGGGCGGGGGCGTTCGTGAGGGCGTTGATGATGGCCGTCTCGACCGGCACCGCCCTGTTCTTGCCGCCCTTGGTTATCAGGCTCCCCTCGTCCTGGCCTGCGGCGTCGATGAAGGTCGGGATGGGCACGATGAGCTTCGTGGTGCCACCGGCGACCAGCTGGACGTCCACCCGGACAAATTCTACTAGGATGTTGTCATAGGTGGCATCCGTCGACACAAATTTCGAGCTGGCGGGCTGCTGCTCGGCCGTCTCCACCGCGCTTACGCCATCCGCCATGCTACTCAAGGTCTCGGCCACCTTAAACACACGCACCTAAGCGAAGCACACAACCACACACAGACCGACCAAGCAATGAATGACCCACCTTTATGTGAGTTGCGAGACTGCCTTTTGTCCCGTGTGGTGTCATGAACTCACCGCATGCATAGCGATGCCCTTCTCGAGGAGGTCGATGACCGAGAAGACGGCAGCGACCTCCCACTCCCACTCACTGTCCACCCCCAGGTCCTCCCGCAAGATTCGCCTTATGCGCTTTCCATCGGCCATCTGCACACCGGCCATGTAGCGGCGGTGGACCGGCTCACCGCTCCCCAGCCCCAGCCCCGCCTCATCCGCCTTCTTGCCCAGCACTGGCAGCACGGAGGCGTCTCCCGGGGGAAACAACAGCACCTTCAGTGCCAGGAAGCTGCCGTGCGGGCAACGCTTGGCGTCCTCCTCGCTGTGGAGGTCCTCCACCACGGCCACTTCGCTCGCAGCCTCCTGCCCCGGCTGCATGGCCTGCCCCTCCCCGCTCGCAACGAACAGGGAGTAGATGGGCCCGCCGAGGCAGTAGAGGTTCTGCGCCCGCCGATATTCGCCTCTGATAAGGGCGTCCTCGATCGCGGGGCGGACCGTTTGCGGAACCACGCCCTTCCGGTAGGCCACCTGATCGCTGGGGGTGGGCAGCGGTGCGTCGGTCGGGCGGGTCCTGGCGCCGTGTGCCCTGGTCAGCAGGTACAAGTACGCCGCCTCAATGCGCTCCTTGCGCGACCTGGCGACCTTCCTGACGCAGGGGAGTGTGTGGTGGCCGTTGTGCAGCTGACTGAAGAACACGTTGTTCCTGGACACCCCGATGCCGTCAGGCGACTTGAACTTGTCAGTGACCGTCCAGGTGGCGGCAGCTGACGGCAGGGCCACAGACACAGGGGCCTCTGGCGTCACGTCTGATCGATGAATGACACACATAATAC